CGGTTGTGGTAGCGACTCCTTTTCCCCTGGCAACCGCAAGAGGGTAAGTTTATAACTGAGGGGTCTTCAGGGGTACCGGGGAGGGCACAGCACCCATGGGCTATGTCCAGAGTGGCATGAGACGCACATCGCGCCCCCAGGACTTGTGTCTGAGGCTGGGAGTGAGGCAGCAAGGGGGTCCTGTCTCCTGTGGACCCCAGGCCAGGGCCCTGGGCACACAGGTGCCGGGTGAGCGTTGAACTGGATTCGGGCCCTAATTCACGTCAGTTACCTTCCGTGAAGCAGTCATCCGGTTCTTCCAGGTCATCGGCCAGCTCGGGGATCTTCCGGAGGATCTCCTCGGGATCCGGACAGTCCACCGTGCTGCCCTCGGAGGAGCTCCTGTCGCTCGCTCCCTGCAGGACACAGGCCCAGGTCAGTGAGCCCAACTCTCTGATGGGGCGGTCGGGGCGGGGGTCCCTCCCATGCCTGCTGCCTGACCAGCTGAGGCCCAGACCAGTGATGCAAGGCTTTCCCCCTCCAGACCCTGATGGAGTGCTGGCGATGGCCCGAGACACCATAATTAACCCATAAAGACTGTGCATTCACTGGGCTTGAATATTTAACCGCGGAGCAATGCCGCAGGGGCCCTGCAGCCCTCCTGGCAGCTCCGGCCCTGTAATGTCTCCAGATGAATTCAATTAGGAGCTGACGCTGCTGGCCTATTAGTAAACCTGATAGCTTGGCTAATGGACCCAAATGGTGGGGTGTGTTCCCATCTGTCACTGTCAGGCCCCTCCCTGCCTGGCCAGGGTCACGGACAAAACAAAAACAAAACTAACACCCAGCAGTTGTGTACCGAAAACATGGACAGAGAAAAGCAAGCCAGGGAGTCCTTAGCAGGCTCGGGAGGAAATCTGATTTCCCGTGTAGAAGGTGCAACCCTCGCCCGGCTGGACCCAAGTGGCTGTGTTCATCCGGGGCCCCCAGGTCCCGTGTCAGCCCACCCTCTTATCTTCCGCTGCTGTGGTCAGCCTTGCCCAGGGCCCCACAGCCAGTAGCTGGCATTCCTCAGGCTGAAGGGCTTGATAACTTTGGGGATGAATGGTATATCTTCCTTATCTTTGCCTAGTTCAGTGCCTGTCACAGCGTCTGCCCTTAACAGCTAGGGGTCAAGTTAAATCCCTGATTTTCAATCCAGTGTATGAAAGACACTAACCCTCTACAGACACCTCTTTCCC